CTTAGGTGTAGGGGTTCCATTGTAGATGTGTCACTTAGGGTTGGGTATCTCACGGACACTTATTCTGTGTGTGTGACCAGTTATAGAACTCTGTAGTAGTCTCCATCTGATACAGAAGCAGCTTCCTTGACGAGTGTTGACTGGAATACCTGTCTGTAAATATAAGATTCCATATTTGGCATATAGTAAGAAATTACATTTGTCTAGGAATGTGACAGCCTCTTCCCTGAAGGCTAGCTCCACAGTTTTTGAGAACACTATGCAAGCTACTAAGGGAGAACATTAATCGTTGGTTCTACCCCAGCTTTAAGGCCTAATAACCACAACAATGACTGGCACAGCAAATGATACTGGTATAGTAGTGGCACTTTTATCTTGGGATAATCAACAGCTACCTAATTGGACTTAAAGCCCACACAATGGGAGGGAACTCATGTGTGGTACGGTAAACATAGCCAAATAAATGTGGCCTCTTAGCTTGTTTATACTGTAATAAGCCTACTAGACCTTGAGCTCCTCTTGTAACCTGAAACACATAATTTTAATTTCTCATGACCCTTCCTTGCCTTTGACCCCCAAAGAATAGGTGAATGTGTGTATATGTTTTACATATTCCAGAAAACATTGAAAACAATGTGGGATGTTCATTGGAAACAAAAAAAGATAGGAAGATTATCCCATTTGTGTCACAAGCAATAGATAGGATTAAATTGATAACATTTTTTGTGGGTGTATGTGATAGGGGTCAGAAGGGACATAATCCTTAGATAAGGATCAACTTTCACTTCCCCATTTCATGCTGGATATACTGTTTCAATAAAAGAAAGAGCAAGCCCTTTGTTCAGGAGCACAGTTCTGAAAAAAACTCTGAAGGAACATATACTCAGCATTTTGAGTCTACTGTTGGCTTTAAAACAGATGCTAAAGGTAAGGTTGTTTTTATTCAGGCATAACTGCAATGTGGCTTTGTGTAGTAAGTACCACAGTAGCCCAGGCTGGCTTCAAACTGGACATGTAACCAAGAATGACCTTGAACTCCCGATCCTCCTTCCTCCACCTCCGACAGGTTGGGGTTACAGGACTGAGCCACCATGCCCAACAACAGCCAACATTTATGAAAAGAAGAGAGACTGCTCTGACGGCATCATATGCCTTTCTATGTTGCCTCCTAGCCCTAGCTCTATCCAACAGGAAAGGAAAGGGAGAAGTAAAAGGTCAAAGCAAGACAGAAGGGCATTCTATCCTCTTCCCTTGCTCACCCTGGGGTTGAATGCCATCTCTGAACTCTGTTAAATTGTCTACTCCAGCTTGAGGTTCAAGAGAAAGAGATGCTCATGCTGGCTTTACAGAATGTAGGTAGGTCCTGTGGTTTAAGTGCAAAATGTCTTCCATAGACTCGTGTATTTGGATACTTGGTTCCCAATTGGTGGCAATATTTGGAGAGGCTATGGAACCTCTAAGGAAGTATAGCCTTACTGGAAGAAGTATGTCACTGGGGGTGGGCTTCGAGAGTTTATAATGCTATCCCACTTCTGGTTCACTCTCCCTGCTTCCTTGGTATGGATGGAGAAGTAGTTTCCCACTCTGGCTGCTTACTGCCATGCCTTCTCCCACCCCCTATTATAAACCATTGCCCTGGAACCATGAACCCAAATAAACTCTTCCTTCTAAAAGTTGCCTTGGTCATGGTATTTTATCACAGCAACAAAAAGTAACTAATATTGTAGATTAGGTAGAAAGTGCCTAGGAGACCTGATTCAATCTCAAAACATCCTGTCTCTTATAGTAGTTAAAGTCAGTAAGGGTACTGTGGCCTGGGGGTGGGTGGTCCTCAAAATTGATCTACATATTATGAATTCTTTCATAACCAGTGTGTTAGTCAGTGTTCTACCACTATGACAAATACTGGTGATAATCAATTTTTGGGGGGTCTTTTTGAGACAGGATCTCCCTGCAGCCCCTGTGCTGGAACTCACTATGTAGACCAGGCTGGTCTTGAACTCAGAGATCCACCTGCCTCTGCCTCCCAAGTGCTGGGATTAAAGGCGTACGCCACCACACCCAGCGATAATCAATTTTTTTAAGACAGGGTCATACTATATAGCCCTAGCTGTCCTGGAACTTGTTTTGTAGACCAGACTGGCCTCAGTCTCACAGAGATACAACTACCTCTGTCTTCCAAGTGCTGGGATTAAAGGCATGAGCTACCTCGCCTGGGGTGAGAATCAATTTATAAACAGAAAAGATTAGGTTTGGAAGTTTCAGACTATGATTGATTGGTCCTGTTGTTTTGGGCCTGTGGTAAGACAGCCGTTTACCTCAAGATATTGAGGAAGTAAAGATGGGCAAAAGGGAGAGGTCAAAGGCACCTTTCCTCATAGTGGCCAAAGACCTCTCACCAGACCTTGACTCCCAAAGGTTCCACTACCTTCCAGTACTACTATACTGGGGGTCAAGCACTTAACACATGGTAGGGTATTTAAGAGCAAACTATACCAGTTTTAGAAAAAAGCAAAGTTATAGAAAGACTTGCTTACACAGAGGCTAACCAAATCATTTTGTGGATGGATTTTTTCAAGGTTTTACTTTTTTCTTAAATATTAATATATGTTTCTACATGAGAAGAAAGAAGTGAACATCTTTAAATTGTTTTCAGCCTGGAGAGTGGGAGTCTGACAGTTGTGTAAGGTTCTCTAGAGTAACAGGGCTACATCAGAGACTTGAGTGCTAGGGGAATTTCAAAAGGAGATGACAGCACTGGATTGGGCAACCTGGAGAAACTCTGGGGGAAGGGGTGTCTTCTACAGTCCTTCAACATAGGCAAGAGAATCCTCAATGTGTCCCCACACCAGAGACAGACTGGCACTCTGCTGTTCAATCCCTCACCACCCCATCAGAACAAGGATTCCATGAGGCCAAGGAGAAGTTGTCACACTGAATTTATACCCTCCTACTCCAGACCATGAACTCAGGAACCTAGAGTTCCCAGCCAGATGACTCAGGGATGCTTCCTCTTTGGTCCATTCTCTAAAGGGTGGATTGTGCTTCTTTGGAGATATTGCTAGGCTTGAGGAATGGCCAGAAGGCTGTGTTTATGGATGGAGCTTGAATAAGAGCAGGAAGTTTACATATGAGTTTAAGGTCCTTGGCAGAACTAGGTGGAGCCAGAAATGGGAAGAGGGGGAACTGGGCCAGGCTAAGGGCAGTGGCTAGGGGATGCAGGCCAGTTTTCTCAGTGACACCAAATCCAGGTCTAAACTTCACAAAGGCTAGATTTTTAACATTTAAGTGTGGACTTCAAGGTCATGTGCAGGGCAATTTCTCAAAGCAGGAGAACAGAAGATAGTTAATTGTTTGCTTGGTGTATTATTCCCTTTAACTATTTGGATCTGTGGTATGTAGACTACCACTGGTGCTTTTGACTCAGTCATGCAAATGTCAGGGCTGGCCCTGGACGTGTTCCAGAAATGGATTTTGGTGACTGGGAAAGATTTAGATGGAGCAGAATGGCAGGAGGTAACAAGACAAGATGCTCAGAGATGGGCATTTTCATGTGACAAATGGAGCTGTATGCCTTCTATCTGCCAGCTTTTTGGCATGGCATGGAGGGTTTGGCATCCTCAGCCCAGGCTCTGCTAAATTCCCAGGCATCATCTCTCATGCCTTCTGTGATATGTGTGCATCTACCCGAGGCCATCCATACCCTCAGAATGCCCCATTTTCGGTGGTTCCTGCCCACTCCCCTGCCCTCTCTCCTGTATTCCCTCTCAGCTTCTAGGCCTGCTTGTCTCCTATCCTGGGGATCTCCCCAAAGATGTCACCTTCTCAGTAAAGACTTCCCCACAGGCCCACACTGATATCATAGCTCCCATTCTGCTACTTCAAAACCATCTTGGGTGTCTCCACCAGACCCTGGACTTCTTGAACAACCTGAGGCTTTACTTAAAAAAATTTTTTTTAGTTATTATTTTTATTTTATGTGTATGAGTGTATTTCTTATACATATATGTAAGTGTACCCATGTTGTGCAATGGCCGTGGATGTCAGAAGAGGACATCAGATCCCCAGAACTGGAGTTATGTATGGTTGTTAGCTACCATGTGAGTGTTGGGAATCAAACCCTGGTCCTCTGTAAGAGCAGTCAGTGCTTTTAACCACTGAGCCATCTCTCCAACCCTTATCAGTTTACTTTTTATTCTCTCTCTCTCTGTGTCTTTTTCCCCCTCTCCCTGAGTGAGTGTGTGTGTATGTGTGCATAAGTGGGTGCCCACAGAGACTAAAAGAGGCTATTGGATACCCTGGAGCTGGAGTTGCAGACTGTCACAAGCCACCTGACATGAATATTGGGAACTGAACTCCAGTCCTCTGAAAGAACATCAAGTGCTCTTAACCACCAACCCATTTCTCCATCCCCTCAGTTTACTTTTAACCCTTACCAATGATCACAATCCTTTTATTGGTATCTATTCAGAATAAAAATGAAAATAATAATAGTTAGTAGGGGTGATTTGGTTCATCAAAAAAAGTCACTGTCCTTTTTGAAAATATTTTTCTTGGGAGGCCTGAGTCTTTATGGCTATTCTGGTACTGGCTAATTTGGAAGGAGGGGTGTGCATCCACATGTGTGTGTGTGGTGAAGTGGGAGTTCCCACTTATCAACCCAGAGGCTTCATTGGTAAAACAAGGGAAACAGGTTGTCAGGATTTTCTGACCTTCAGGAAGCCCAGTGAGTAGTCTTTGGCCCTCCCAAGACGAGAGCATCATGCTCTACTTTGCTTACAAGTTGAGGTTACCTGTAAATTTTCACCCTGTTATGGGACTAGAGCTCTGAAGTCCTTTCTAGGTCCTAATTCCTGGTGTTCTATAATTTTATTGGAGGAAATAGCAACTGGGTCTTCAATGTCATGGAGCTAGAACACTGGTATCCTAGTGTCAGTGGAGGACAGTTTAAGGCATTTTGTCATTTATGAGTCTCCGTACCTTTCTTTCTTGCCTCCTCCTCAGGGACTCACTCTCTGAGATATTTTCACCCTGTTGTTTTGGATCCTGGCCCTGGAATCCATGAATTTATCTTGGTTGGGTATGTGGACTCACACCCTATCACCACCTGTGACAGCGTCACTAGCCAGAAGGAGCCTCGGGCTCCATGGATGGTGGAGAACCTGGTGCCTGATCCCTGGAAGAGGTACACTCAGCTGCTAAGGGGCTGGCAGCAGATGTTCAAGGTGGAACTGAGGCATCTGCAGAGGCACTACAATCACTCAGGTGCGACTGCAGCTGAGATAAACACGCTCCCTCCCTAGTCACTCCCCTGTAGAAAGGCCCTGGGCTGCCTGTGGCCAATGTAACCAGCTACTTCTACCCTTTCTGTGGCTTTAGGCAAAGCCTGGGAAACATGGTTAATGGAATTCAGTGCCCAACACCCACCCCGTGCATCTTCCACATTGTTGTCCTGTGAGTGTCCTTTGGCCTCATAGTCCTATCCCATAGCCATCCAGCAATCTCTTCTCATTGTAAATTTGCCCATCCTGGATCTTCAATGGCCAGACTTTATGATTTGCTTACTTCTGCATAGAGACTATGTTAATGATCCCAGAGAGATTTCTGGCTCCTATATATCTCTTCCTCATCCACTGCACTCATAGCAGCCAAGAAGTTTATCAATGAATCGTTCACAAGATAGGAAAACCGCCAAGGCAGTAATCATCATGATCCTTTGGCATGTGGTAGGTACATCTCCAATATTTGTTGTTAGGTGGGTATGTACAAAAGGAATCTCCTGAAGATTCAAATGCATCATGGCAGCCTTGTGTGGTGGTGTCTTCTAGGACAGAGGATGCTTCTAGCCATGCTCCAATCATATTACCTGAGAAGCCCCTGCCTCTATCTCTGTCCTCCATAGCTTGTGTGTGTTCCAGGGCTTCACACTTACCACAGAATGATTGGCTGTGAGTTGATGGAAGATGGCAGCACCACAGGCTTGCTTCAATATGCATATGATGGACAAGATTTCATCATCTTCAACAAAGATACCCTGTCCTGGTTGGCTATAGATAATGTGGCTCTCATCACCAAGAGGGCATGGGAGACCAATCAGCATGAATTACATTACCAGAAGAACTGGTTGGAAGAAGAATGTATTGCTTGGCTAAAGAGATTATTGGAGTATGGAAAAGATACCTTAGAAAGAACAGGTAAAGAGAAGACAGAATATCTTGTTCCCGAATCCCTACAACAACTGTTTTGCCTAACATCCTCTTATGCAGGTGATATTCACCCTGTGCAGAAATTGATCTTTATAGCTGAACTCTCATGATCTGTATGTCTCCCCTAGGAGAACTCTCATGGATTCTATTTTTAGCAGCATCTTGATAAGACTTAGTAGTAGTTCCACTTGTTTTGATAGAATGTTGTACCTCTAATGGGCACCTCCAGTGAGACAAGTCCTTCATCTCCTGTCAGTGATAGTTGGGGAAAACTTTTGGAAGTGGGGCAGTTGTTGAAAATTATTCAACAACCGAGGGTTTCTACAACCTCACTGTAAGGAAAAAGTTGACCTTAGGAAGAACAGTCTTAAGATGTTTTTCTTCTTATTTGAGGATTAGTGCTACAATTCCCTTCTGTAAAGAACTCCTCTTCTCCCATAGAGATAAGATTCCACAGGTCAGCCTCTAGTTAATGCAAAGTTTTTAATGTTTGATGGTATGATTCAAAATGGATTACATCTATTCTATGTTGCAGGAAATTCCTTGGGCACAATGCATTTCTAGACACATTTTCCATGGGAGTAATCTCTAGTGGGATAACTTTCCAGAGTTATGGAAGGTCCAAGATGTGGGGAGGGGTCTGGGCCATGGTTATGAGCATGTGCTATCTGTTTAAAAGTATAGGTTTTGGAAGCAGATGATTAGAGCTTGACTTTGACTGTCCCCCTTGCTAGTGGAATAATTATCATAACGTTAAATGACTTCAGTTAACAAACCTGTTTCAAACTGGCTCAAGCACATCCTGTTTGAAGGCAGGCATCTGGGTAATGCAGGGACCTAAGAAATCAAAACCAAGATTTGAATGTCTTTCTCCATGAGTGGGATTGAATTACCAGCACAAAGCTCATATCCACGTGGCTTCACCATCCAAATGGGGCCACCATCTCCGAGCATTTGTTGCTTTGATAAAAAAATCACAGGAGGACTGGGATTGGCCTAAGTTGGATCATGTGCTGCTTCGTAAGCTAATCACTGTGACAATCTGGATACGCTTTGAAGATTGGCAGTGGGTAACAAAGTCTGGGCTGAATAATGACTCAGTCAAATGGTTTAACGAAGGAAACTTCAACAAGGGATCCTTTGCAGAGATATAATGAGGATCCCAGTAAAGGATGGTGAGGTACCTGAAGGTGTGCAGTAAGGAGAAACCATTACTCCCCAGTGGCCAGAAAGGCACGGGGAGGGAATATTGCTAGCAGAACCCAGCATGCGTTGGCATGCTGTGACTGTGGAACATGCTCACTGACAGGATTGCAGTGTCCTAAGACTGTACTTCTCTAATTGGCCTATCTTTGGCTAAGGCTGTTCTTTCTAGTGGCCAACCCCAGTTGGGGCAAAGAGCTCCAGAGGTACATCCTGAAGGCCTAGCACTTGGCAGGGCAGGGCACAGAAGGTAAGGGACTAAGTCGTGTGGTTATCAAAGAGACAGTGACCAGTACACACAGTTTGGGTGATGGTTGAGGAGGAGGGATTAAGCTGAGTACTTCTTCATAGAAGCACATGTTACAGAGGGGTGGGGCAATATCTCAAACACTGTTGTTTCAGCTGGAAATGTTAAGGACAGCACCATGTGGAAAAAGAACAGATTAGTCATGAGGAAGCAAGATCACTAGCGGATAACTTGTCATAGTGGCACACACCTATAATCACAGCGCTCGGGAGGCTGAGGCAGAAGGACTGTAAGTTCAAGATCAGCTTTGAGTTGCATAGAGATATTGTCCAAACACACAGGCACAGACGCAGACACATGCAGGCACATGTGTGCGTGCATGCACACACACACACACACACACATACTCTATTGCCATTGATAGAGCCTTTCTATACTATGAATTTCTGTAGCTTCTTTTGAGGGCACAACTGTGACATGAACTGTTACATTTGTTTGTAACTGATTACAACCATCAAAGTATCAATCTGATTGCACAAGGCAATTCAGAGCCCATGTGGAACTGTAGAATTGAGATCTACTGCATTCTAATCTCCAATCTCTTGGTGAATTACTTATCATGAATAATCACTTACACATCTGTGACTCACTTTTCCTTGACACATAAGGGTATTTCAAAGGTGAACAGTAAATAACTCCAATATACTTTCCAAATACTTGATGTTATATGCCTTTCCTCCCCTGAGAGGACAAAATTTGGCTGTGTTCGTCCTTGACAATCACACTTCCATAGTAGGAAGTTTACAAGTAAGTTTGTTGGTGGTGAATCTTAGTTCTGGTTCATTTTCAGTTTTAGATGTTTCCTGTTGCAAAGAAAATTAACTGGGAAACTCAGTTGTTCTGTTTGAACATTGTATGCTCAGTACCCAAGACCCTCCCTTTTAACTTTAGCTGCTCCTTTCTAGAGCCTCCAGTGGTAAGAGCAAGTTGCAAAGAAACTTTTCCAGGGACTACAGTTCTCTTCTGCAGAGCTCATGGCTTTTACCACCCCTCCCCCCAAGAAATTTCCATGGCATGGATGAAAAAAGTGGAAGAAATTGCCCAAGAGGTAGACTATGGAGACATTCTTCCCAATGGGGATGGAACGTATCAAAACTGGGTGTCAGTTGATCTGGATCCTCAGAGCAGGGATGTTTATTCATGTCTTGTGGAGCGCAGTGGCCTCCACCTTATTCTTGAGGCCCCTTAGGGTAAGGATGGTGATGGTGGCTGTCTGGGGAGTGAGACTGAGGAAAGAGGCTGAGCAGGAAGCCATGATGTCTGCCAGGGAGGGAGGCTGGGTTGCTGCCTCACAAGGTTAAGTAGCCACTACCAGGTGGGTTGCACAATGGCAATGGTTCTTTTTTAAAGATGTATTTTATTTTTAATCATGTGTATGTGGTGGGAGGAGGTATGTGCACATGACTGCAGATGACTGTGGAGGCCAGAGATGTTGGATTCCCCTGGAGCTGGAGTTTCAGGAGGTTGTGAGCCACCTATGTGGGTGCTGGGAACTAAACTTGGGTCTTCTATAAGAACAGTACATATTCTTAACCCCTGAGCCATCTCTCCAGCTCATATTTTTTTAATCATTTTTAATTGTGTGTATGTGTGTGTGCACATGGGTATGTGCATGTGAGTACAAGTACCTTCAGAGGCTAGAAGAGGAGCTGAAGTTGCAGGTGGTTGTGGGCTGCCTGACATGAGTACTGAAAACCAAACTCTGGTCTTCTGTGAGAGCAATAAGTGCTTTTAACCATTGGGCTGTCTCTCCAGCCCCAACAATGGTGCTTTTCAATCAGTAGTTCTCACATGGTTTGGTCCCTGGACTTTAATATATATTATTAATTATATAATAAATTATATAATATTATATATTAATATATTATGATTATTTTTATTTTTGTGTATGAGTGTTTTGCCTGCATGTATATAAGTACACCGTGTGTATGCAATGTCCACAAAGGCCAGAAGAAGGTGTCAAATCCCCTGGAACTGTAGTTACAGATGGTTGTTAGCCACCTTGTGGGTGCTGGGAATCTAACCCAGGTCCTCTGGAAGGACAGCACGTGTTCTTAACCACTGAGCCATCTCTCCAGGACCCATCCCTGAACTCTTATGAATTACTAAGGACCACAAATAGCTATTGTTTGTGTTGTTTGTATTGTCTGTGTTTACTATATTGCAAATTAAAAAGTTTTTAAATGAACAGAAGAAAACATAAGCACATATTCTACTAGAGATCTCTAGCTGGAAAGATGGCTCAGCAGTTAAGAGCACTGGCTACTCATCGGGTTCAATTCCCAACACTCACATGGATGCTAACAACCATCTATGGTTCCTGGGGAATCTGACACCCTCTTCTGGCCTCTACAGGTTTTACAGGACATGAGTACCCCTACATATTCACAGGCAATACACTCATACACATAAAATAAAAAATAAGTAAATCCAAAAAAATTTTTAAAAGAATTAGTTGACACTCAGGTTGGAATCAGAGGAGGGTCTGGGACAACTTTCCCCCTGTATAGAGAAAACACCATGGATAATGCTTCTGTGCAGAGTAGTCTGTTCCCAGGCAGAAGATATAGTAATCTTGATTTGCCTTTTTTTCATACTATTTTATAATTACTACTCACTTCTGAGGAAATGTCCTTTTATTTTTTTAATTAAGATTATACTCAGTTTTTCCTTCTTGAGTGTGTGTTTTGGCGACAGGGTCTCTCTGTTGCCCCAGCTGACCTGGAACTCACAGAGATCTGGCTGTCTCTGTTTCCCAAGTGTTGGGATAATGGCGTGTGCCACCATGCCTGACCCAGTTTTTTTTCCTTTTTTAATTTTTCATTATTTTTTTTTAGACAGAGTCTCATTATGTAGCCCTGGCTGGCCTGGAACTCACTATATAGACCAGGTCAGCCTCGAACTCACAGAGATCCTCCTGCCTCTGTTGTCCAAGTGCTGGGATTAAAGTCATGTACCACCATATCTGACTCCATTTATTTATTTATTTATTTATTTATTTTTGTTTTTTTGAGACAGGGTCTCCCTGTAGCCCTGGCTGACCTGGAACTTGCTATGTAGACCAGGCTGGCCTGAAACTCACAGAGATCCACTTGCCTCTGCCTCCTAAATGCTGGGATTAAAGGCATGCACCACCGTGCCCAACTCCTTTTTTATACTTTTAACTTAAAATGTTTTGGTCTCTTGAGATGGTGTCTCACTCTGCAGTCCAGGCTGGCCTAGAACTCATTAGGTAGACCAGGCTGGCCTCAAATTCACAGCAATCCTTCTGCTTCAGCCTCCTGAACACTGGAATTACAGATGTACACTACCATACCTGGCAGTTTTCTCATTTTGGCAAGCATTTTTCTATCTCAATTATATGAAAATCTTTTTCCTGTGCAATTCATTTTTCAAAACATAAAATGTTTAAGAGTAGAAAGAATTTAAGATAAGGAAACAGGAGGTAGATAAGCTCTTGATAGTATAGAAAAATAAATTCATCCATTAAATATGCATTAAATATCTGTAGGGTTCTAGGCACCATACTGGAGTGTGGGAGACAGCAATGAAAAAGCCAGGCATGATCCCTGCCATCATAGAGCGGTAGTGTAGTCTTGTAAGGTAATTTCCTAGCTCTAGTTTACCAGTTTCTCAAGATGATCACAATAAATACTGATAGAGCCTGAATCATGGCTTGAAGCCAGTGGGCAGGAGTTTGCCTTTGTTTTATAGCCATACACTTGAACCCAATCCAGGTGATACTACACTTGCATGGTATTAAATACTAAAAGAACCAATCCACTTGCTAGAAAATCAACTCAGATAGTTAGTGGATGATTAAAGTTTCCCTTAAAAATAGAGTACAATACTAATCTCAATCCAGTAAATGATAGCTGCTAAAGAAAAAAAAGTTACAGGGGGCTGGCGAGATGGCTCAGCAGTTAAGAGCACTGGCTGTTCTTACAAAAGACCTGGGTTTGAGTCCCAGCACCCACATGGTGGCTAACTCCAGTTTCCGGGAATCTGACGCCCTCTTCTGTCCTCTGAAGGCATTGTATAGCACACTCACACACATGCAGGCAATATACTCATATACATAAAATTAAAAAATAAATAAAATATTTTTAAAATGAAAAATACTACAATGGCACACATCTTAAGGATGAAATTTCTGCCTTTTATCTCTTGGAGTTTGTGAATTTTAAGTTCAAATTTGTGATGTTCTGAGAGAATCTTGAGAAAGCAGACTAAAACTGTCAGTGTCTTGCTTCTCAGATTTTTCTGGATATTGCATATTTTATTTTGAGCTGTAAGTAAACATACATGTAAAAACTTCTTTTCCTTTCTGAACAAAAAGACATCATCTCCCATTCTACAGCAGCCAATGATATCAGCGCCCCTTCCTAGGGACCAAGATGCCCCCTGTCTCTCATGCACCCACATCTGTTGCTGGAAGATCTTGACACATTCATGACACACGGAGGGATTATAGGATTGAGCATTAGTGGCAGGAAGATGGGAACTACAAACTTTTCTTTGTTCTTTGGTTCCAAAAGAACTGTCAGCTTTCAGGCTTTTGGACTCCTTTATCACATTCAGCTTTAAATACAGTTTGGCTCATGAAACAATGCTTTCCAACATCTTTTTTCTCAATGGTGATTTACTAGTAGATTAAAGAATCTCAGAGCTGCAAAGAAAATTCTCATCCTGGCAGAAGATATCTTCTATAATTCCATAGACTCAAGTATCTAGCCTCTACTTAGACACTGTGCGAGGGATACACCAATATATCACAAAATAGCCTTTCTTGTTCATCTTCTTTCATGAGAATGATTACTATGCAAGGGCTTTGACTACCAGGGGCATCATGACTGTGAACTTATCAGCAAGGGCTAGAGCAGCCCATGAAAACAGCCAGCAAGTGTCTACAACAGCCTGTGAATGGCCTGATTATTATACACATACGACCAGAGAGAAAGCAAAAATACCCTGTTCATGGCAGCTCTGCCAAGTAGCACAGAGTCCTGGAACTGTGCCTGGCTAGATCTATGGAGATGGTTTTATTCTTTCTGTTTTTGTGGGGAATTAGAACAACAATTATCAAGCTGGGTGTGATGGAACGCTTCTGTAATCCTAGTACTCAGGAAGCTGAGGCAAGGGGATTATAAATTTGGGGCTAGCTTAAGCTGTCTTAAAAAAAAGAACAAAACACAAATAAACAATAATTATCAGACATGTTATCACCTCCAGTGGAACTGCAGAGACCTAGACCCAGCTGTAAAGTTTAAATGTAAAATGACAGTATTTGGCTGACAAGGTGGCTCAGTAGGTAAATGCATCTGCCACCAAGTCTGACAACTTGAGTTTAATCCCTAGTACCCACATGGTGGAAACAGAAAACAGATTCCTTCAATTTGTCTTCTGACCTCCACACATATGCTACAACACATAAGTACACTAAGTAAATAAATATAAAAATTTATTTTAAAATGATAGTATGCTTATGTCTCAAAAGAAAGTTAAAAAAATTAGTGTTGGGGACTGAACTAGTATAGGAAAGACAGAAATTAGAATTGAATATTTTGGAGCTAAAGGTATATCTTGGTGGTAGAGACCTTACTTAGCATGTGTGAGGTCCTGGGTTCAATCCTCAGCACTGCAAAACAGAAAGAAACAAAGAACCCTAAAATTCTAAATCTTCAGTTTACTGTAAGGGGTTCAAAATTATATTTTTTCTTAATGATTTTAGACTCGTTGCCACTTCATTAATTCATGTCTGTTGATTCTGATGCTTAGTAATCAGGGTCTCTGAACTATCTGATACCGTCATCTAAACATTGAAAACAAAGAAAATAAAGAACTGTTGCTATCACTCCAATTATGTGTGGGCTTTGAATTGTCTTTATTGAATATTTTGGATCAAGAACACTAGATGAAGAGCCTGCTTTATTCTGTTTTTTTTTTTTTTAACTATAACATTTATTATCTGTTCTCATTTTAGCATGTACAAAGATACTGTCCTTAAAATGACGAATGTGGCAGGCAAGGAAGGAAACAATTTGAAGAGCAATGTTGGGGCTGGGCATGCAGTTGGTAGACTGTTCGCTTAATATGCATAAAGACATAGGTTCAATATCCAGCACTGCATAAAACTGGGTACAGTGGCACACGCTTATAATCCCAACACCTGAGAGGTGGAGGCAGGAG